CTGACCCCAAACCAGGGTGGGTAGGAAGGGCACCACAGAGAAGAAACAGTTCATGGCAAGCAAAAACACAGCCAGGCAGCAGACAGCAGCAGATGAGCCAGCCTGCCTTCTGTCTGTCTTTTTTCTCCCTTCTGGGCTATCCGTCTTTTGAGTAGCACTACCTGCACTCAGGGTGAGGCGCTTTTTTTTTTTTTTTTGTCTTTTTTCTTTTTATCAGTACTGGAGATCGAACTCATGACTGCCTGCTTGCAAGGCAGACGCTTATGCCGCTGAGCTAAATCCCCAGCCCTGGGTGAGGCGTTTTTAATCCCAGCATTACATCCTTGCTTGATCCACTCACCTCCCAAAAGCACCACCTGTGGGTGCATAAGGTTTTTGGGGAGTGATGAACATCTAGATACAAGCTATCATAATTTACAAAATCATATTTATCAAAAAGACTTACTGCTGCCACCAGTAAAAACAAATTATCAGCTGCTTAATAAGAGACAGTTATAAAGAAGCAGTTTTAGCATGAGCTAAAAGCTTTAGCTTCTCACAGGAGAAACAATGAAGAATGGAGATTGTAGGGGCATGGATCAAGTTGAGGTGCCCTTCCTTTTACCCTGCTATTGTCTGGTAGGATTCCAGGGGCAGTATCTCCTGTGGGTGTTATTGGTATGTTACAGATAATGTCAAAAGAAAATGTTGTTAGTTATCCACATGCAGATTTTACCTGTGACACAGACAGGCATTAATTAGACTGTTGGTCAAGACACACACAAAACTAACACAAAAGAAATGATAAGGGAGGGGAAAACACAAACATGGAAAAAGTGAGGTTTTTTTTATATGGTTAATTAGGAAAGAGGCTGTTCTGCATAGAATATGCAACTGTGGATAAAAAGGGGGAGAAGTTGTAGATAGTGCTTTCTAAAACTATATTCTTAAGGGGTGGTGACCAGTTATCTCTATGTAGTGTCTACCAGGGCCCCTGATTTAGTCCCTGCAAGGGCTTAGAGCCATTTCCTTGCTCTGAATTTCTTTGGAAGCATAATAATTCCATGCTATTTACATGGATGCTTCTACTTTAAGGTGGTACAGTGGTTCTTTATCTGGAACTGGTGCATATAAGATTATTTAGTAAGTGGTATTTCATTGCAAAGAAATTTTATACTTAAGGTTTCCTTGGACTACATAATCAGCCCTGTTTTTTAACTAATGGCATGGTGTTACCTTCCTACCCCAATATGAACTGACAGTTACTTGTATCTGTGTGTCTTTGTCATACAGAGACTAAGCATAATACACATCTTGAATATTGGTTTTTGTTACCTTACTTGTACGTTAGGAGTCTTCCAAAAATTACTAATATATTTCCATAATGTTGACAAGTGTTCTGTTAAGCATTTAATATGTGAGGATGCTGCTCATGTTAGTTGGAACTGCTCTGAATTAATTGTGACAAGCTAATAAGATCTTCTTTGCAAACTTCTTGAGTTAATGTTTTCTTTGTGGCCAGTGGGGTAGACTATACATTATTTTTGATGTCCTTTTAAAGACATGTGGGCAGTTACTATTCATTTAAGCCAGATGGCCTATATCAGCTCTTTTCCCTGGAGAAATGGTGGTGGGGCAGGGGCCTTAATAAAGCTTTCTGTGATTTCTTATGAGGTTCTCCTCTACACATATTAGGATTCATGTAAATTTTTCGTAGATCTTCCAGCATCCTTCTCTCACTTGTGAAGATTTTTACAGTATTTGATATAGGGATTTTTTTTAATTATGCGGTTATAGGTGATCACTGACTAGGTTATATAAAATTAATATTATTTTTCAGGATAAGTTGAGCACAATGCATAGGCAAGGAGTTCCCTTTTATATTAAGTGGCTTACATTCAGGATCTGAGTCCATGACAATGAGTACTCTAAATAATAATGTGCTAAGAGAACCTCTGAAAACAGTCATGATCCCCAGGCAGAAAAGAAGGTTCTTTTCTGGGGCTGGAGATTTAGCTCAGCGGCATAAGTGCCTGTCTTGCAAGCAGGCAGTCGTGAGTTCAATCCCCGGTACCGATAAAAAGGAAAAAGACCAAAAAAAAAAAAAAAAAACTCTTTTCTCTGTGTGTTTTTTTTTCTATTATTTCAGTATTTATTTTTAATTTTTTTTTTAAATTTTATTTAAGGAGAAAAAAGAAAAAACAAAAAAGGTACAGGTTATACAGAATTTTGGAAAAAAATAGTAGGAAATCACTAGTTAATTACATATTGTCATCTTAGAAATAGTTCAAGTTACAAAATTAAAGCATATAGAGGGGACTTTCAAACTGTGAGACTGGAAACAGTTTTGTTCAATGATCCAATAAAACTCAGTAATACGGTTATCTATCTTATACACTTAAATATATATGCAGTTATATCCTTTAGAGCACTTTCTTTTCCTTTCTTTTGTACAATGACAATTATACATTTTGTGTTTTATTACTCCCACAGTTCTTATTACTTTTTTTTTTTTTTGAAGAAAGTAAAACTAAATGTGACATAGCAGGACAGAGTCAGTCAAATCAAAAGGCTGGACATAATACATAATATAAAAACAAAATGCAAGATGATCAACAATGGTTACCATAATGCCTCTTGTTATCTTAAAAAGAACTGCCTATATCATCAGTTATAATAAAATTGAACAAAACAGTAAAGAATAAGACCAATAAAACCAAAACATTGGAGACCTTAGAGGACTTCAAAAGAAGATAATAGTCAACCAGAATGAGTGTCATAATGAATCTTATTGTCTTCATAGTTGTTGCCTATACTTTTGAACTCGGTACTATCAAGCAAAACAGAATAGAGGAAAATCAGTCAAAACAAGATGGTGAGAGCAATACAGGATTTCAAATCAAGTTAATAGGAAATCACAGTGGGTTACTATAACATATCCTGCTATTTTTTATTTATTTTTCCCTTAATTAAAAGGATAAAAATGAAAAAGTAGATAATAAAAAGGAGATAGAGATAAAAAAAGAGGGCATAACAACAAAACAGCACAGGTCAAAACGTAGCCATTTAAGCAAAATAGTGTTTTACCACAAGATAATCTCGACATAAAAGTAGTTATCATAGTGTCTCTTCCTTTAAAATCTTTGGGTATAACTTCGTATACTGTAGCATCAAACATATTATGACAATGTAAAACCATTCAAGAGAATGATAGTATTACAGGGTATTTAGAATCAACTAACAGAAAATGAACAATGGTTTCTGTATAATCTCCTTGTCTATAAAAGTTTTTGTTTATATTATCACATATAATAAAATCCAATAAGATACAATAGGTTAAAACCAATGGAGACCGAAGAACAAAAGCTTGATGGGACTTCAAAACAAGAGAATATTAAATTAGCACTACCTATTATGATGTCTTGTTTTCTCCAAATGGGTGTTCCTACCATCCAACCTTCTCTGCCTCATTTCTGTTGAGCTCTTTTTCTGTCATTAGTTGTCAGTTTGTCTTCTTCATTTCATTTTCTGCTCCATTCATTGTGGCCTCTCTGCCACTGTTTCTGGAATCTTGATATTTTTCATTTTTAGAATATCCTGTAGTAATCTCTGTAGAGTTGAATTGGTGTTTGCAAATTCCCCTAGTTCCTCTTTATCCTGAAAGCACCGTGTTTTTCCATCAATTTCTAGGGACAGTTGTGCAGACTATATCAATCTTGGCTGGAGGTTATTATCTTTCAAAGCTTGAATTATTTCCCCCCACGTTCTTCGTGATTTGATGATTTGTGCTGAGAAGTCTGCTGTAATTCTGATGGGTGTTTCCTTGTAAGTGATCTGTTTCTTGTCTCTGACGGCTTTTAATATTCTGTTCTTATATTGGATTTCTGGAATTTTGATTATTATATACCTGGGTGTAGCTCTGTTTGGGTTGTAGGTGGTTGGGGTCCTGTATGCCTCATACATCTGAGTATCTTTACCTTTTGCTAAATTAGAAAAATTCTCCTGGATTATTTCTGTGAATAGCTTTTGTAGTTCATTTGTTTGTGTCCCTACTTCTTCTTTTATGTTCTTAATTCTTAAGTTATAGATCCTCTTATCCTCTTCTAGCCTTTGTATTATTGCTGTTTGTTTTCTTGTTATTTTTAAGAAGTTTTTCATTTCATGCTCTCACCTTACAAATCTGTCCTCCAGTTCTAATAATCTATCCTTAGTTTCTTTCAAGCTGTTATGCCAACTTTCGATAAAGTTTTTAGTTTCCTGGTAATCTCTTTGAACCTGCTTCACATATTCTGTTTTCTCCATTTTCTCCATCAAACAATTCTCCCCTCTTTTTCTGTTCTTCCATTCCACCATCTGCCAGTCCCGCTCTCAACGCCGTTTGGTTTGCAGATTCCCACTCTCAGAGCTTTCGCGCATCTCTCTCCCTGCCGTGCCGATTGGGACGCAGCAGCGGCAGCAGGAAATTCAAATCGCAGCTTCCAATGGCGTGGGCTCCAGCTTCCTCAATGAGATTTTATCTGTACGTGTTATAGCATCAGGATTGCATTTCCAGTTGGTTTCTCTCAGCTTAGTTCGTTCCTGGGTCGGCAGGGTACATCTTGCGTCAGTTAGGACTCCTCACACGGCACTGCTTCTGGATTCTAAGCTGGTAATCTCAGAGAGCCTCTGTGGCTGCTGTTATTTTTCTGCCATGTTCTCCCGGCACTCTTTTCTGTGTTAGCACCATAATTTGAGCTTTGATTTTTAGTATGTACATCATCACCTTAAATTGAGTTTTACTTTTTCTTTTTGTAAGAAGTAGAGGTATTTGTTTAAATTCCAAACCATTTGATTTTCCTTTTACCTGATTAAATCCTGAGCTACGGATATTAGGTGGTACTTTTTCTTTTATCTGCCAGAATTCCAAGGATTTGGGTTGTGAATTTTGAGTATTTGATAAACTAGCTTTTCTGTTTTTTGGTTTTCTTGATAATGAATTTTAAAAATACTGGATGACTTATCAAAATTTTCATTTCTTCAAGGTGTTGACTTCAAAGTGAAAACAATTTCAGTGGATGGAAATAAGGCTAAACTTGCAATATGGGTAAGCGTTTCATAAGCATTAAACTTGTACTTTTTATGAAAGTAGAAAGTGATTTATTTAGTGTTGCAGATGTGAACAAAGAACTTGTATTAAATACTTTTGGGATACTTGATGCCTGTTAAGAGACACATTATATGGTTATACATGTCTTTGAGTGGGTAAATAGGCAAAACTTGTTTAACTTTTTGAAATGTATTTTGTTTTATTTAAGTTTTTGAAATGTATTTTCCTTTCAGAATATTTTTAAAACTAGAGAATTAAAAAATATCACAGTCTGCTAGAGAGAATAATTGGTGGTAGATATGTTTGTTCTATTAGAGTTTTACAAAGACCATCTGAACCAATACTGAATTGTTGAGGAAACAGAAAGGAAGTGATGATTAGGGAAAGAATGATTTTTCTGCTTTGTTAGTATAAATATTTATGCAATTTGAGTTTGCCAACTTTGGATTTGTTTTTTAGTACTTTGTCTTGTCTTATTGCTTTTTATTTCCTTGCAAATCCTACAGTTCTGATCTACGTTACTCTGCAAACTACACTTAAATCATGCTGGTACTGAATAAGGTGGCATCAAATGTCAACATCAAGGGGCTGGGGATTTAGCTCAGCGGCATAAGCACCTGCCTTGCAAGCAGGTGGTCGTGAGTTCGATCCCCGGTACCGATAAAAATGAAAAAGACAAAAAAAAAAAAAAGGTTTCAAATGTCAACATCAAGAGGCTTAGTGTCTGTCTCTGAGTTCCTCTAAATATGATCGCTAATGTATAAATATTTATAAAAATATATACCTAATTTTTGCATGTGCTGTGATTAGATATGTATCTTTTTTTTAATTGGTACCGGGGATCGAACTCATGACCACACACTTGCAAGGCAGGTGCTTATGTCGCTGATCTAAATCCCCAGTCCCTAAATATATATCTCATAATATGATAAATATTAGAACTGTTCAGCAGTCATCAAATGAAGATATACTTCTGCATGGTGGCTAAATGCTAGATGCTTCCTGTTCATCAGTAAGTGGAAGCCATAGTGTCCATGAATTATATAATGATAATTCCCAAGTTGTTCGAGCTAAGTTTAAACTTGTGATCATCCTCCTGAGCCTCCTAGAGTGCTTGGATTATGGGCTTAGGCTAGCATGCCTACCTAACGTGTCATGTTTTAAATGATTATTAATTTACTTGCCCCTCCCACTTAACATCAACCAGAATAGTAATATCAGAAAACAGTTTGGAAAATGTTGGACTAGGCAATAGTAAAATATATTGAACAGTTTAAGAATGTCAGGTTTTGTACCAAAGCGGAGGCCTGGTTTTCCTCACTTTCCTTGTTACTGCTTTGTGAAATACACAAATTAGAGTAGGAACTGAGGTTTAATGGTTGCAGTGACATTTTTCTTTTAAGTTTACTCGTTAACTGCTTGCCTGTTGAAAATTCTGGTGGGTACTAGTGATGAGCCATCTGTACCCTAAGCTTACATTTTTCCCAAAAGAAAGGTTTCCTTGAACTATAAGAATAATACTGGCTTATTCTGTAAAGGATAATTGAGACAGAAAGAAAGCAGTGGAGAAAACATTTGTCTTTAAGAAGTGTCTGTTTGCAGTCTCTCTGTTTGAATGTCCACTTTGTATTCTTTGATACTGTGATTTGAGCAACTATTTTCAAGATGATAATATGTAAGCTATTAACAGGTGATTTCTTACTGCTTTTTTTTTTGTAGTTCTGTATTATGTGTACCCTTACACCGCTTTGTTTTGTTCTGTGTTTTTCTCTTTTTCCTCTTAAATAAAATTTAAAAAAAAAAGTGTCTGCTTTTTAGTAAATATTCTTTAAGATGTTTAGGTGCATGATACATACTGTTAGACATAGGTGTGTGTATATATACAGTCTTCTGAAACTGGGATCAATTCACAAAATGTGCACATTTTTTGGTGTCAATGACTAACAGATATTATCAGTTTAAATGGCTACCTGGTATTCCTTTTATGACTGTATGGTAATTGAATCAACTCTTGGAGAAAGAAACTTAAATTGATACTAGTTTTTCACAAAACTAAGCAGTACTCCAGTGAGCATCCTGATTGTACACCTGTGGACAATTGTGTAATTCCCTAGGATGTAAACCCAGAAGTAAAGAATGAGGATTAATATTGATACACATCCAGAAGCCTTGTTTTTCAGTTTTTACTTCCACCAGATATTTTTCATATTCTCTTTTATTTTTCGGAGAGGGTATTGGGAATCCAGTCCAGGACCTCACCTTGCAGTACAGGTGCTGTGCTGCTGAACTGTGTCCCTGGCCCTCATATTCTCTTACACATTTTAATTGGTGTAGAAGTTAGTGTTACATGTCGTTTCCATTGTTACCTTCTGAGTGACACTTTTTTACTTATACTGTGTACATATCTTTGTTCATTTTGTTTATTTGAAACTGGGAATGAAACACAGGACCTTGTGTTTTCCAGGCAGGTGCTTATGCCTCTGAGCTCTATCTCTGGTTCCTGTGTGCATATCTTTTTAGTTTTTATCATGTATTTATTGATCACATTAAAATTATTTTTAATATATTTTGCTTATTAATATATTAACATGCATCTTTTTCATGAGTAAAGTCTATAATAAAAATACCAGCTTTGTCATATGCTACATTTTCCCACACCTACATTCATCTTTAAAATCATTAGTCTTGGGATCATCTATGTAGAGAATCATGTCATCTGCAAATAATGATAGTTATATATATCTTCCTTTCCTATATTTATTCCTTTTCCTTCTTTTGTCTAATTGCTCTGGCTAATGTTTCTAAAACTGTATTGAATAGGAATGTGATAGTAGACATTTTTGTGTTATTCCTGTTTTAGAGTGTAGGCTTTGAGGTTTTTTTTTTTTTTTTTTTTTTTTTTTTTTTTGGTACCTGGGTTTGAACTCATGATCTCTTACTAACCAGTCAAGTGCTTAAGCCACTGAGTCAAATCCCTGTCCCCTAAGCTTTGAGTTTTTGTTCATTTAATATGATGTTGGCTGTTGGTTGGTCATAGATGGCTTTAATCAGATTGAAATAAAGACCTTCTATTCTAAGTTTCTGTAGAGTTTCTATCATGAATGGGTGTTGGACTTTGTCAAATGCTTTTTCTGCATTGGGATGATTTTTGTCCGTGGCTGTGTTGATATGGTGTAATTACATTTATTGATTTACATGTGTGGAACCATCCCTGCATTCCTGGGATGAATTCTACTTTTTCATGGTGTATATAATCTTGTTGATAATTTGCTGCCATTCTTTTTGCCAGTATCTTATTGAGGATTTTGTATATATTTTCATTAGAGAGATTGGCTTGTGGTTCTCTTTCTTGGATGGACCCTTCTCTGGTTTTGGTGTCAAGAGTAATACAGGGAATAAGGTTGCTTTCAATTTCATTAAAAATTTTAAAGAGTAATGGCATTAGATCTTCTCTAAATTTCTTAGAGAATTCAGCCATGAATCCGTCAAGTCCAGGGCCTTTCTTTGTTGGTTTTAATTACATCTGAAGTTTCATTGACTAATACTGGTTTATTTAGAATTTTCATGTCTTCTTGATTCATCTTCAGTAATTCATATGTATCCAGGAATCTGTCCATTTCTTCTGTGTCTTCCATCTTATTAGAATAAAGGTTTTTGAAATAGGTATTAATAATCTTACAGGTGTCTGTAGGATCTGTTGTTAGTTCACTGTTTTCATTGTTAATTGCATTATTTGAGTCCTTTTTTGTTAAGATTGGCTGAGGGTTTATCAATTTTATTTAGTCTTTCAAAGAACTAACTCTTCAATTCATTAATTCTTTATATTGTTCTCTTAGTCTCAATTGCATTAATTTCTGCTCAGATCTTTATAATTTCCTCCCTCATAGAAACAGACTTGTTCTTCTCTTTCAGAAGACTCAAAATCTAATAATCAAATTCAGTTATATGAAGTCAACACTCAAAAATCAGTAGCATTCCTATATACAAGTAACAGACTTATTGAGAGAGAAATTAAGGAAACCATGTCTTTCACAATAACATCAAAAAAGAGAAATACTTAAGAATCAATCTAACAAAGGAAGTAAAAGTTCTTTACATTGAAAATATCCTAAAAAAGGAGATCAGGGCTGGTGATTTAGCTCAGCAGCAAAGGCGCCTGCCTTGCAAGCAGGCAGTCCTGAGTTTGGTCCCCAGTACCAGTTAAAAAAAAAAAAAGAGAGAGAGATCAAAGGCAAAATCAGAAAGTAGAAAGCTATCCCTTGCTCTTGAGTCAGAAGGACCAAGCTACGAAAAATGTCCATATTCTCAACATTGTTACAATTTAATGCAATTTCAATTAAAATATCATTAGCATCCTTCACAGAACTAGAAAAATCATTCCTAAAATTCATTTGGAACCAAAAGAGACATAAAATAGTAAAGCATTTCTGGGCAACAAAGACTAGGTAGAGGACATCACAGGCCCTGACTTGAAATTACACTACAGTGTGGTTTGAGGTTGGCTTACCGTTAAGGTGGCTATATGCATTTGCTGTGTTTTCCTGATATATGAGTATTTACTGCTGTAAATTTTCCTCTGAAGACTGCTTTCATTATGTCCCACAAGTTCTGGTGTGTTGTATTGTCATTATCATTCAACTATAAAAACTGTTTGGTTTCTTCTTTAATTTCATCTGTGACTCATTGGTTGTTCAGTAGGGTGCTATTTAATTTCCATGTGTTTATGAAGTTCTTGTGTTTTCTTTTGCCATGGATTTCCAGTTTCATTGCTCTGTGGTCTGATAGTATGCATGGGAAAATTTCAGTTCCTTTGCATTTAATTAAGCATGTTGGGTGAGCCAGTATATGATCTGTTTTGGAGAATGTTCTGCTGTCCCATGTGCTGCTGAGAAGAATATGTATTCTGATATTGTAAGTGGAACTCTCTATAGACATTTACTAGGTCCTTTTGTTCTAAAGCTTGATTTAGTTCTAATATTTTATTATTGATTTTTTTT